CACGCAAGAGTGACCCCTGGGCAAGAGTGACCTTTGGTGCGCGGCTTCTGGGGCGCCGCGGGGGAACCAAACGCAAGCGCGGAAGCCGCTACGATCGCATCGCTTTCTGCGATCGGCGGGACCCCATTGGGCCCGCACCAAAGGTCACTCCGGCGAAAGGTCACTCTTACGTCTAGTCGACCCTCCTCCTCCAGGAGTCCATGCGGAATTCCCGGGATGTCCTAACCAGGTGCCCATGCGGCGATCTCCGGGAAGCCTCCAGAGTCTCCAGGCAGCCTCCAGAAGTTTGCAGAAGGGACAGGGCTTCCGCAAACCTTGGAGCTCCTCCTCCACAGGATGGTGCAAAAAGTAAAACTCGCAGTGGAGCCGGCCCTGGCTACAGGAACGCCCCAGGAGCCCTCCTAAAAAAATGATCCGAGCGCCTTGCTGCTCGATCCTTATCCTCGCCCTTCCCTTTTCTTCTCCTCGTATTCCTCCTTATCCCCTTACCTCGTCTTCTCCTCCCTTCTTCTATCCCTCCTTCCCTCCTTCTTCCTCTTCCCCCCCCTCCCCCCCCGGCACGCGCTCCCACTCGCACGGGCGCGCGACCGGGAGTTGGAGGAGGGAGGACCAGCTGTACCAACGATGCAGCAATCAAGTCTACACCCTGCGAAATGCTTAAGAAATCATTGGGGAAGAAATTCAGAGTCTCAGACCTTGCATAAAAACCCAGCATTTCCATTAAGATCTTAGGGTTTACATTGAAACGTTAAGAAGAATCGAGACTCTGGCCGAAAACTTGGGCTCTCTTAAGCATCGCCTGAGGTGTACCCATGTAGTAAGGACCCGCGGCGAGGCTGCAAAGGGCAGGCTCTGGGAGCGGGGCTGGCCATCGACCGTGAGTGAGGATGCACCGGAGACGACCGAGGAGGCAAGGCTGCAGGGGCACTCTTGGGAAACAGATAATCTCCACCATGAGCCTGTTTTTCTTTAGATCCAGGCAGCTTTACTTGCATGGCGTTCGCACCCCCCCCCCTCCTCTCTCCCCCTCGCCCCTCTTCAATCGAACACGAGCGTGCAAGTGCCTTTCGACTTGCGTGATTTCCGCACGTCGAATTGTTTTCGGCTTGCTTCAGACTCAGCCCCCCCCCCCCGTCCATGCAAGTAAACTTGCCCGAATCCAAAGAAAAACAGGCACCATGCGGGTTCACAGTATATAAAGCAGGGCTAGGATCGGGATAAATCGCTCCAGAGCGTTCCGGAGCGCTCTCAGAGCGTTCCGGAACGCTCTGGAGCGGCCGCGGCGCCCAATACATCCTCCAAACCCGCCGATTCTCAGAGACTTCGAGTTATCCCGATCCGATGTTGTACACCCTGCGGTCCCGAGCCCCTGCCAGGGAGGAGGGGGGCAGCGGGCAGCGCGCCGGGCTGTGGGGCGAGGACGGCGGCAGTGAGGATGCCGTGAGGCGCTGAAGCGTGCGTCAAAATCTACTCGGCGCGCAGAGGGGGGTGGGGGAGAGGGGCAGGCAGCTTAAATTTGCAGGGACCGGCCGTCCCGGCATTCCCAGAGGCCTACAGTTCTTAGAGCCCAGAGATGTTCTCAGAATGTTCTCGTAACAGTAACCAGATGTGCCAGAACAAGACAGCATCGGCCAGACATGTCCAAAAAGCATGTCATGCAGACCACAAAAGGTTCTTAGAGCAGTCCTTCTTCGGCCTATGGGCAAGCCAAGACGCCTCGCCACTGCTTGATCTTGGAATGAGGCTGCTTCTTAGAAGTCTTCCCCCTTTCCCCTACCCCCTTCCTGCGCGTGGCCGAATAAGTTGCCCCACCACGTGGCGGGTTCCAGAATACCCGAATCAACAACGTTGCCATCTACGAGTGCCGCATACAGTAGGGGCAAGTCCACAAGAAACCTTCCACAAGAAACCCAACCCTGAGACCCCAGGACGTCCATTCATTCTAGGTGTGGTAATGTCACGCTTTCCTTTAGCAAAACCATCAAAATCCAAGAAACCCAGGGCTCCCTGGAGGCTAGCAGGATGTTTCTTGGCATGGGTCTCCACTGTACTTGCCATCGCTGCATTCCGCTGGCCTTCCGCCGTTTTCCGACGAGGAAGAAATCGCAATTTCTTCGATCCTAGAAGGCGAGTGTCGACTCCTGGAACCGGCCACGTCTCGACACGTAATCACTGCCGGCTCAAGAAAACCTGGGGCCCAACAGTGGTGATGACTCGTTCTTACTCCTCGCTGTCCTCCACCAGCGGACGCGCCGCCGTTCCACCTCCGCCAGCTTCGGCCAGCTGAGGAAGAGACGCTAAACCCTCGATCGCTCGAAGCTCCTTTTCTGATGGCACACCTAGAACGAACGGGTACGCAACACATTGGCACAATACCCAACAGCAAATGCTATCCTTAGGTCGGTTATGTCCTCCTGCAGGCAGACTTTGGAAGGCGAATTTCAAATAGTAAAAAAATATTGAGAACATCAAACGTCGTCAGGAAGATCGTCCTCAGACTATTTTTATACTGATTTGGAATATCCCCCCTGTAGAGGGACATGCCCGATTTAAACCTAGAACGGGTATGCAAAGCATGGGCACGATGCCCCACAGCAACTGCTGTCCCAAACCGACAGCCTGTCGTTGCTGAGCAGACGACCTTTCACCTCAAATCGGAGAGACGTCCACGGCGACGCCGACAGCGCGCCCTGTTCAGAAAAGATGAGCACTGCTGTCGGTCTTCGTCCCCAATTCCCTCTGTACACATGAGAACGTGTCCGATGATTCGCAATAACGCACGTGACCGGCCCTGCCCCCCCCTCTCCCTTCCGCCCTCTGTTCACGTCACGCTTCGCACCGGCGCTGCTCGGGAATGAGCCATTCGCCATTCCTACTCATTCACGGACGGCACTGGCGTGAAGCGTGAAGTGAGTGCCCCCCTCACCCCTGTCACGCCTGTTATCACCAGGGTATAACAAATGGTTTCCATTTGGATCGCGCCGGCGCTCAGACGGAGCAGCTAACTCTGTGCAGCGCCGCCCCCACCCTGCACAGCGCAAGCCGCCGAGGAGAAGCAGTGTTTGCCCGCGCGCTGGCAGGCGTTTCTGCCACCCCGGACATGCGCGATGTCGCCCGAAGGGACAATGAAACCGAGCCTCTCATCCCACGGGGAAGCCGACACTGGATAGCATTGAGAGGAGCGAGGGAGGAGGAGGAGACAAAATGGAGCGCGCAAGCAACTACGACTCGACTAATTCGATCTGCGACAAAAACTGGGCTTTGTAAAATTAGTCGGACGCAAGACCCAACCATGAGCAAGACCCAACCATGAGCAATTGTGGATACCGCGTTCTGGGTCCATTTACTGTGAATACCGCATTCGGGGAGGACGCAGTTTACTGTGTTCGTGGTGGTCACACCGCAGTTTGGAAACCGCGCTCGGGGAGGATGCGTGTGGACTGTGCCACTGGGGCCTTCGGTGGAGCTCCCTATGGGGCCGCGAACCGTGTGAGAGGTGTGCAGACATGGACGTGCGGTCGGCAGGGAGGGCGCATGCGGACGCGGCCACTGGGGCCTTCATTGGAGCTCCCCGTGGGGCCACGAACCGTGTTAACGGCGTGCCGAAATCCACGTGCGGCGGGCGGGGAGCCGCATATGGACCCTGTCGTTGGGGCCTTCGGTGGAGCGCCCTATGGGGCCACGAAGCGTGTGAATGGTGTGCCGCAGTGAGCATGCGGTGGGCGGGGAGGACGCATGCGGACGCGGCCACTGGGTCCTTCGGTGGAGCTCCCTATGGGGCCACGAACCGTGTGAGTGCCAGAATCGACATGCGGTGGGCGGGGAGGGCGCATGCGGACGCGGCCACTGGGGCCTTCGGTGGAGCTCCCTACGGGGCCACGAACCGTGTGAGGGGTATGCCGCAAATGACATGCGGAGGGCAGAGGCAAGGAGGGGGAGGAGGGAGGGGAGAGGGACGAGGGGGAGGAGAGGAGGAAGGAGGAGGAACGCGGGGCGCTGTCACGTCAAAGCGAGGACCCAACACGGGATGGTCGGGCACAAGAGAGCATCTGCAGAATGATAGCGGCTTGTCAACGCGCGTGCCAGCGAACGAAGAGCCACCATACAGTAACTTGTCAGCCATCAGGGGGCGCCTGTCTGCTGGCGGCTGGGAAACGCAGATGCGCCCGCGGTGGCACGGCGGGGCACCAGCTTGCGAGCCGTCCTCGGGCAGGCGTCCTGCATGGCAGGCAAGAGGACTGTGGGCCTCCAGCGGCCGGCCCGGACGATCCCGGAGCCCCCGGTCCCCCCTCGGCGAGGCGCGGGCGCTGAAGGCACCCCCGAGCCTGGAGAACCGCCGAGCACCGACGAACCTCGGAGCTGGTGCTCGAACCTCGAAGACCGCGAGGCTCGAACCTCGAAGCCGGCGCTCTGATAACTCGAGGTCTTGGCGAGACACGCGTGGTCACTTTCCCAGACCCCCGCCGTCGTGATTTCTGCATGCGTGCTATTCAGAAGTCTGGACCCCTCCCCTGAGACTGCCTTTCCATCTCGAGCCGTCTTCTGGCGGTCGCGAGGCCCGGGAAGGGCCCCAGGAGTCCGAAAACAACGAAAAACCTCCCGTAGTGATTTTGTTCAAAGCGTGAGGAGGAGAGGGAGGAGGAGGAGGAGGAGGAGGAGGAGGAGGAGGAGGAGGAGGAGGAGGAGGAGGAGGAGGAGGAGGAGGAGAGAGGACGACGACAGTCGACAACGAGGACGAGGAGGAAGAGGAGGAGGAGGGGGAGGAGGAGGCGAGGAGGAGAAGGAGGAGGACGACGAGGACGAGGAGGAGGAGGAGGACGGGGAGGTGGAGGAGGAGGAGGGGGGAGGAGGAGGAGGAGGAGGAGGAGGAGGAGGAGGAGAAGGAGGAGGAGGACGAGGAGAAGGAGAAGGAGGTGGAGGCAGAGGAGGCCGAGGAGGAGGGCCTGGGTGTGGACACTCCCCGTCCACCCGCCGCCCGCCCCCCCGGCGGCAGGCCCGTCCTCGGCGCCCCGCCGTCGGCCGCGCGGGGGCCACCCCGGGGCGCGGGGCGGGCGCGGGGGTCCGCGGTGCCGCCGCCCGCGGGGCCGCGGGGCTCCTCGGTGGCGCGGGGTGGGCCGTGGGTCGACGTCCCGGGGGGGTGCCAAAGGGGGTGCCCCAGGCATCGGGCGTCTCGAACAAAACGAGACGAAGGTGTTCTCAATTTTGGGCCCCTCGGGGCCCTCGCCGGGCCTCGGGACCGTCAAAAAACAACTCGGGATGAAAAACCGGTCCCGTGGAAGTGGTCGGGAGGTCGGGGGCCCGTGTCTCGCAAAAGATCGAGACGTCGGATGTCTGGGGCTGCCGCGGCGCGACCATCGTGCGAGAACCCTGCGAGGCTCCCGAGCAGCAAGGGGCCGTTCCACAATCGAGCAGTGGCAGGAAGCACCAGCAGAAGCTGGGGCGGGCCCACGACGGACCCCTCGCCCACCCTCCCATCCTCCCCGCTCCATCTTCCCTCCTCCCCTTCCCATCCCTCTCATTGGAAGGCTCTCACCAACAACAAGAGCCCCACTCAGGATTTGGGGACACAGCGCAGACGGCACGACAAGAACATTACCCACACACTAATTAGCAACACGTGGTACAACCACAAATGCCGTCAGCACATAGTCCCCCTCCCCGCGGGGAAAAACGCGGGACCAACAGCGAAACGGACACATGAGGGCTGACACGCTCACTCAAATGATCCCCACATGCGATCGGCGCAGAGTTGCTGGCATCCCGTTAATGCTGTGGGGGGGTGGGATCGTTCGCTGTTTGCTCACATGTGTGATCAGCTTTTGGTTCGTTTCCCTGCATAACCTGCCTGCAAGGCCTCTATATATGAGCTCCATGCCCCCCCCCTCCAGATGGGATGGGTCTCAGGGTCCATCGGCCCACCCACACCCTGATGGGATGGGGGTACGACCACGATGACGACGACGACATTCACGATCACGTTCACGGCCTCGACGACCTCAGATCTCTGCCAGAGGTCGACCACCCTGGCTCCCTGAAGCACCGCATCAGCACGCCACTGCCAGAGGGGGGCGACGACGGCGAAGACACCGTCGACGACGATGTTGCTCCTCCTCACTCCGTCCCTCTCCTCATCCCTATCTCCTCAATCCTTGGCGCTCTCTTCCTGTCTTTGCTCCCCTCTTTCATTTCCTCTCCCCGTGTATCCACCACTCCTCCGAGGCAAAGGCAGAGGACAACGACGGCGACGACGACGACGACGGCGGCGGCGGCGGCGGCAGCGGCGGCGACGGCGACGCTTGGCTGGAGAGGCGGGCCCCCTAACCACCGCACACCCCACAAGGGGGGGACCCCACACCACACCCACAGAGGGGGGGGGCACCACGCCACGCCCACAGGGAGGGGAGGGGGGGGCCATCGCGCGGGGTGGGGGGATGACATCAGCATGATGGGAGAGGGGGGGAGGAGGAGGAGGAGGAGGAGGAGGAGGAGGAGGAGGAGGAGGAGGAGGAGGAGGAGGAGGAGGAGGAGGGAGGAGGAGGAGGAGGAGAAGGAGAAGGGAGGAGGAAGAGGAGGAAGAGGAGGAACACGAGGAAGAGGAGGAGGAGGAGGGGAGGAGCAGCATGTGCAGTAGGGAGGAGGAGGAGGGGGAGGAGGAGGAGGAGGAGGAGGAGGAGGAGAGGAGGAGGGAGGAGGAGAGGAGGAGGAGGAGGAGGAGGAGGAGGAGGAGGAGAGGAGGAGGAGGAGGAGGAGGAGGAGGAGGAGGAGGAGGAGGAGGAGGAGGAGGAGGAGGAGGAGGAGGAGGAGGAGGAGGAGGAGGAGGAGGAGGAGGAGGAGGAGGAGGAGGAGGAGGAGGAGGGTGAGGAGGAGGAGGAGGAGGAGGAGGAGAAGGAGAAGGAGGAGGAGAGAGGAGGAAGAGGGGAACACGAGGAAGAGGAGGAGGAGGAGGGGAGGAGCAGCATGTGCAGTAGGGGAGGAGGAGGAGGGGGAGGAGGAGGAGGAGGAGGAGGAGGAGGAGGAGGAGGAGGAGGAGGAGGAGGAGGAGGAGGAGGAGGAGGAGGAGGGGGGGGAGGGGGGGCCAGACCCTGGACCTTCTGTAGTGTTCTTCTGTCGCTCGCCCGGCGAGGGAGCCCCCGGACCCCCCGAAAGCGTGGGCTGACCGCGCGGCCTCCGTCTTGGGGTGTTGGCCTGTACCTGTCGAGGGTCTTCTGCCGCGGCGGTGCCAGCCTTCGGAAAATCCAGCATGTATAGACTACTCCAGATTTCGTAATAAAAGGGAGGGGGTCTGGACCCTCCAAGACAAGCCATTTCAGACGCCCCCCCGTGGGAAAACCCTCCAAAACATCGTCCCCAGACCCCTCCAGGCCCTCCAAGATAGCCTGGAAGAGACCCCCTCCGAAATGAGACCCCCCTCCCTTTATTATGAAATCGGGAGTATAGACTACTTATATCAGTGGCGGGGCGTCTTTCAATCCCATGACTTTCAGGGGGTCGGGGAATACGTCAGCAGGGTGTGGTGCATACGTTTGTGTCCCGTTGCTTCCCCAGGGGAGCAGAACTGTACATGTACACACCAGGATCCCGTGTACACCAGGATCCGCTTTCCTGTTTGAGTTTCAGGGCGGGACCTGGAAAGGCGTTGGTGTATAGTCTTCGGCTCCTTAATTTTGTGTTGATCGTTTTTCGACTTTGCCCTCGAGTGGGGTCGGCGTCCTCTGCTGTTTGTTCGCCCGTCGATTGGGTTTGTATCCAGGGCAGGGCCCCCGTCTTTACAGCCGTCTTTTCTTCGGCCACTCGGCTCGGCCCCTCGGCGGCGCCGGCCCCGAGCGTGTCCTCCTGTTCCGCTGCGTCCCAACCCGGTGCTGGGATTCTCCTAACCCCGCCGCCCGGGGGATCGATCTTCGAGGACCTTTGGGTGTCGCGTAAAGGTCAGGCGATCGCAAACACGGATCAAGGGGGCGTGGATTATCGGGGGGACGTAAGACCTGGGTACAGGGGACTCGGAAATCCCCGACGAGGTCGTCAAAAAAATGACGAGGCCGAGCCTGCATTTTGACGAGGCCTCCCGCTGCAGACATCCCACGAAACTCCTACTCGTCAAAATCCGAATCGCGGTCGTCAAAAAACGATGGCGAACCCGAGTCCTGGCAAACCCGGGTCTTACGCTCCCCCGAGATTAGCGACGGGCCCCGTCTCCAAGAGAAATCGCGGACTTCCGCCGCCGCGCCCCGCGGCATCGCGGGACGTGCCCCCCCCCGGAGCCCGAAAGCGGGCCGCCCCGCCCTAAGTTCCGAAGTCTGGGAACGCCCGCCAGCTGACAAACCAATAGGTCGCCCGAGCTCCAGGGATATATATATATATATATATATATATATATATATAGCTACTTCCACTCCCCAGATGCCAGGACGAGGTATTTACTATGGGGACGAGCGCGGGAGGGCGAGGCCACGGCAGGCCGGAGGCTATACAACAGACAGCTGACCCCGGCGATAGCCGCACACCCTCGAAGACACTGAAAAGAGCCACCTGAAATCCGTGCAAACGAGAGAGAGCAAGGGAGGAGCGGGAGGGGAGGCTAGAGCGAGATGGCAACGGATGACCATCAAGTGCGGCAACTTCGCCGTGGTACGCAGCATACACTTGTTAAAAGGATCAGCTACTTCCACTCCCCAGATGCCAGGGCGAGGTATTTACTATGGGGACGAGCGCGGGAGGGCGAGGCCACGGCAGGCCGGAGGCTATACAACAGACAGCTGACCCCGGCGATAGCCGCACACCCTCGAAGACACTGAAAAGAGCCACCCGAATCCCGCAGAGCAGTCCTGGCCACATTAGTGGCCGAAAACGAACTACGCACGTGAAATAACCTAACCTACCGAAAAGAGACTACATGATTTTGAAGGCAGCATCCATCATCCATTTTTCTCTGAGAGCATTGGCAGAATGTGTCATGGCAAGGGCGGCCGCGCGGGCGAACTGAGGCGAGTACGCTGCAGCCAGCTCGGTGCGGCGGGCAGGCGCACCTTTGTCTCGGCCTTGGAGGATAAGGTGGGGCAGGCCAGTCGACGAGCAAATGCCACCCTTGCCAGAGCAAGACTTACATAGGCTGGGGAAGACGCCTGCATTCCAGCCGGCCACTGTCGTCGGCTTCTTAAAGGGTGTGCCAAAGCGGCACATGTCCATCTTGTGAATGGTGCACGATGAATCCGAAAGAAGCTTGACCATCTCGGGGGCGTGCCAAAGCAGCGACCCGCGAGGGTTCTCCAAAAAGACAGGGCAGCCGATCTGGATGCAGAGCCGGATGAGCCGGCAAGAAAAGTAGAAAGAGCGATTGCCAACGCGGAGGCGGTCCAGCCTAGGTCCGGACAAACCTGGTTTCCCCATGGGGAAACGACTGGAGCGCAAAGGGTCTCTGAGAGCCTGCGACCAGGACGTGCAGGGAGTGCCCAGCCACAGACCTACGATGGCCTTGCTCAGAAGCCACCCGCGCACGACCGACTCGAACGTGGTGCGGAGGTGATCCTCGCAGGCCCCGTGAACGAGGTCCAGGTCCAGGCACCCGTAGCCAAGGTCGCGGATGCGCTTGGCGATGCGACCCTGTCCTGCAAACAGCTCCAGAAACAGGCAGCTCCTCCACTTGCTCGCGCCAGCACGGCCTCGGCGGCACCGCCGCTGCAGGTGAAGCCGCACGGCCTGAGGCGACGCCGTCAGCGTCGGCGGCGCCGCGTGGCGGCGGGGGCCCCGGGCCCTCCCCGCAGGCGGGGGCCAACGCTCGCGGGCAGCTCGGCCCACACCAGCGGCAGCAGGGGGCCGCCCCGCAACCCGTCCAGGAAGTTGCGCTCCACGATCTCGCCGAACAGCAGCACGTCGCGGTCCACCTTGGCGGCCTCCATGAGGAGGCGGGTCTCCTTGCCGTAGCGGCGGAGCGAGGCCACTGTGGCCCAGCGACCCCGCCGCGTGACCTGTTCCGGCGTCCTGGCGCCCGACAGCAGGTCCTCGCTGGCGCCCCCGTGACGCAGAGAGTACAGATGCGGCTGCAAGTGCATCAGGCCCAGGGCGTGGCACGCATCCTCGAAGAGCCGAGCAATCGACGTA